TGTGTTCTGTTTGCGTAGTTAGCCCTAACTTGAAAATTTTTCTTTGTCAGCGTTTCGTTGCTTTCCGAGCAGTTTCGGCAAATAGTTCCCAATTCGTTGTCTCGCGGAAAAACATCTACTAGAAGCAGCTCTAGACTTTGACAAGTTTTGGTCTTCTGTTTCACTGAAAACAACTTTCTCCGTAACGCCGGATTTTCTACCAATTTGTCACATTGTAGGCAAATGTTTTCCGGCACAGCAAACTGAATCAAAGTTTTAGTTGGTGTAGTTTCCTCCTCCATTACCAAACCATTGATCGATTTCGCGAGACGCGAAAAGTATTTTGAGAGTTTGTCAGGCAGCGCTTGCAAACGCTGTGTACTTATTTTGGGCCAACGCATAGTGGAAAGTACATTTTTAACCATTCGAAGTTGACCGGCTGAGATCAAAATTGGCGGCCACTTTTGGCCGCGCCAACTTGGCGCGGCCAAAACAGCCCTGTGACGTCACTGGTTGTGTACTTCTGTGAAAAAAGGGTAAAAGCATGGAGTGTGGCTTGCATGTTGGGAAGCCGAAAAAGAGGATTTCGGGCAAAATGCCATCCTCGTCTTCTTCATCGGCGGCCATATCGGCATCTTGGCTATCTGCGAGAGGTTCGCCTTGATAAGGAGCAAAATTCCCGACTGATACCATAATTAATATGCTGATACCGAGAACGAATCTCTACCAGTCTATTTAGTTAATCGGCAACTGACGAGATCCACAAGATTAGGATAGAAAATGTCGAAAGACATTATAACGGCAGATGGGCTACTAAACGCCCCGGGCCAAAGCAATACCATTGAGAGAATGAAGAAAACATGGAAGCCTCATACGACACCGCCACTGAAGATGATCTACTCGGTAAGTGTGAGGATAACGAACAAATCCCTCTGCCAATTGCCTAGCAGAACATGCCCAGAATCCCTACAATATAGGGCGAAGGCCAAAATAAGAGCAGACGAGGATTTCAAAAATGAGATAAAGCAAATCCTTAACAACGCGGAGCAAGAAACAGTAATGTGCTTCTATGAACGTGAAATCGGTCGTTTTAAGACCGAAATAAAGAAGAGATAACGAGCAAAAACGGCTGAGACAGTCAAATCTACAAAGGCGAACGATTCGAAAAAGACGCAATCCCTGATGTGTGTACTCAGTGCCACACATAAAGCAATTTCTCATGAAAAACTGGCATTTAATAGAAACACAACCACTACTGAGCGAACTATACAAAAATCCGCCCCTCGTATCTTACAAAAGAGGGCGGTCGCTCAAAGACATACTCGTGAGGGCCTAACTGTGAATAGGCTACTCTAAACACACGCTGGGGAGTCGTGTAGGCCTGTCAACCCCAATTTACGCCACCATCTTCCTCTTCGCTACTGGAGACAACTTCGCTTCGGTCAGAAGAGGATTTACTTGACAAAACTCTGCCATCTCCTTCGCCCACGAATACAAACAAACAGTGAGTGAAATAAACCACGCTATCGGAGTGAACACAACCAGTGACGTCATCAATCCATTTCGCTCGGTACCAGAGCCCGGACATGGTTTTGTGTAAAATTTTTTATTTGAACGGTTAAAAAAGATATCTTTCGCTTCTTTTTGCCAAAGCAAATTATCTCATGATGATCAGCATATTCAAAACTAAAGGTTAGAGCAAAAATTTCAGATAATTTCAGAAAATTTCAGAAAATTTTGTTTCAGTAGCACTTTAATTACTCCTAATCGGTTCAGGTCACAGAATAAGCGCAGGCTGGTGAGTCATTTTGCCCGGGTGCAGAGTTTATCCGGCCTTGTTTCACTTTTGCCCTCGACATAATTACGTCATGGAAATGGCCCTGGGAGTGGCGCAGTAGAAGATTGAAATTGAGAACTGTATCTTCCAAATATAGCCCCTGTAATTGCACAGCCACAGTTCATTCTCAATCTTTAAACCCTCTCAACGGGGATGCGATGCTAGTCTATCTCAAAAAAAATTCCAATAGAGCGTCTAAAATTGCCCCGTCATGATGACATTCGCGGAAAAGTCTAGCGCAGACTAATAGAAAGATATTTGACATAGCCTTAGGTTGTGTCCTTGATCGAGAAATGAGACAAAGTTCTACGATGCCGTATACAAAATCAAGAAGACCAGTTTTTACATAAAAGTTACCCAGCAACGGGGATACAGCTGTGACGCCACCTTGGAAAAACCCTCAGTTTGACTGTGCTTGCATATCTTAGCTTCCTGGCATCTGCGCTCGACCTGCAAACGTCGTTTGCATCTGCAAGAGCACTTGGATTGCACTTGCGAACCATCCCTTACAACTGCATATGTCTGAATCATAGTCACCAACCTCCAAGCATTTCTGCCAGTTCCGGCCGAGTGATGTGTCGCTCACTATCCAGGTACACAATTGTAGAATTTAGTATTCTCTGCATTTTATTTCAGTTCATTAGCATTCCTTCGGGAATACGTTTTGTTTTTCTTTCCCGCGTTTGGTATAATTTACATGTTGTTAATATTCTAGCTTTCTATGATTTCATCGAGAGAACATCTTGTCCTAAGAGAACATCTGGTTTAGAGTTGCCTTTTCGCGGCCTACAGCGCCGATACAATGTAAGTTCCTAGTTATTATGTTCATTGCGTTCGCTTTAGCCGCCTTTCAGTTTTATAGTTCAAACCTCTCCCTCCGATCGAGCGTTTGTAATCACTGCTGTAAGCGGCCTCGAAAAGACTCGCCTTTTGGCAGTAACAACAATAAACCACCAAGAAAAGCAAACCTTTGGCTGGCAAAGCGCCAATGATCACAGAATCTACAACGAAATCGATAAAAACATGGATAACATGTAGTTAAGGCCTAACTGACGTCAATGTTAGATTTTATATCAGAGCTAGCTTCCCACTTCAACTATTGTTCTTAATGTCGATAAAAGTGAACAGTGGCCTGAATGCAACAATCACGAGCGTTTCTTCAGAACTCCGCGGAATGGAATTCTGTATCGTTTCCAAGAAGCCCACATGATTCTAGCTAAGAAATTTCAAGTGAGGCGGCTTAGAGATGTTGAACGATTGTGAGTGTGTGTAACCTCGGAAGTGCTCGTTGTGCTTTGCCAAGCGATCGTCGGCTAAAATTCCAGCGGCGACTATCGGCGCTTTTTCATCGCAGCTTAGCGACAACCCTGAGCCCAATAACAACATCCAGGTTCCCTCAAGGATATTACGAGCTTCAGGAACAAAAAGATCATCACAAGAGGTTGGGAAAAAAGGAGAAAAAGAAGATAAAGAGAACAATACAACAACAAAAACAATGAAAGACATTTACTTCTACATGGAGCGGAAGGTCAAAGGGTGAAAGAAACAATCAGGTTTGGATTGTCCTAAAACTACTGCGGCAGCAACAGCATCAACAATCCTTTATTTTTGCTCTTCAGATCTTTATTTTACAAATCGTAGAGACAGATAGAAAATAAATAATGGAAATAACAATATCAAAAATGATAATTAGAAAATGAGTAAAAACGATAATAATAGATAACGCTGTGATGAAAGATGAAAAAAAAAATTACCTGCAGTATACCAAGTGAGTATTTTTCTATTACAGATATTATAGAAATACAGGTCTGTAAAAACAAAATACACTTATGTTGTGACAGCTGATCCCAGCCATCCCGATCAATATCAGCTAGAAAATTTATTAAAGAGTCTTTAATAAATTTTCTAGTTGATATTGATCTTATATTTCCCACAGGTCAAGGGTACAGTTTTTATTTCATAAGCCTTGACTGTTATCTCACTGACATGTAATACTGACCACAAGGTATTTTCTCCACAAGATTTTTATATTGAGACTTCACAGCAGTCAACATTTCCCTGCTTTTTGCACAGATCTTCTTTACAGCTAAGGGAAAGAATTAAATTAAGACAACTTTCTTCCTGAACTGTGGCTAAACATCATTAGACTGACAATAAGTTCAATAAAAACAAAATAATACATAGTTTGTACAAAGAAGGATGATGTAAAGTTCATTTGCCTCAGTCACACAATACCAACCTCTGATAACTTGTACACATTCACTGACTGGTAGAGTCACAGGGGAAAATATTGGTTTGAGGACATAAAGTAAGGACCACTCATAGTAAGGTCCATATGCCATGGAAATGGTCTGTTAACAGAACAGCCCAACCTAACTCCCTCGATAAGCACTTAATAACATGTCTACCACACTTGTTTTTCCCTTTTTTTCTTCTTTAAGCTTGTATCTTGCTCAGCCCTTTGCCCTTTCCCCTTTCTTATGGAGCCATTGTCATGCTTGATGAAGACTATTGTTGAGTTAAACTTGACTAAAAAAGTTCAAATAACAATTCTATTTTGATTGCCTAATAGCGCTTTATACTAATGACGTCATGAGACTTTAGACCCCCCGCGTGACTCAGACAAACAAACTCCACTTCTATGAGAGCTACAAGGGAAATGGCGAGTAGTTCGCTTATTCCCTTACAGTTCTGACCGACGAGGAAGGCTTTCCTGGCTCCAAATTTGAAAGAGAACCGGAAGAATACACTGTAGACAAGCTAAAACGGTGGTTAAAATGTAGGGGCTTAAAATTAAGCGGTAAACGAGAAGATCTTGTACAGACTGTGTGAGATGCGGGAATTATCACACCCTTGATCCGGCAATCGATCATGGAAAATGGTTTGCTGCCAAAGTT